CTCACTGTCAAATCACGATATGCTATAAAATTCCTGTCCAGAAATTTTATTAAGGAAAGACCCACACCTGTTGTTCTGAGCACCATTTATGACACCCTCGCCCACACGTTGCAGTGCCATTAAAACGCACTCACACTCATTTCTGCATTGCAACTGCCAAGTGTGACTTGGAACATTCGAAAACGGTAGTGAAATCCAAAGTGGCAGCAGGTGAATGGACGTTCGTCCTACGTGGGGAGAAGAGAGAAAATTACTTTTCTGGAAAAACCCTTTCCCATTTTCTGCATGTTCGTCTTCTTCCCCAAACTCTTGATTTCCAAATTATCTGCCTTCTTTCTAGAACCTCCATCTTCTCTCTACCATAACTTACTTTCTTCTTCTCCGATCCAATTTCAGAGACCGTAGAAGCAATCCAGACGTCATAAGCTTCCATAACCAAACAAGTTCAAAGTTTTGAATCTGGTAATGTCCCTAGCTGTCCTTATAGGGTTCATGCAAAACCAAATCTGGGTACAGGGCATTATCTTTATATGAATCAAATTTGATTCTGGAATTTGTTTTAGGTTCGCAAAGAGTTGAGTGGTCTGAGGATAGAAAGTGATAGTTGGGCGAATTCAGGAGTTTCGCGTTAGGACGGTCGTTCACTACTGATCAAGGGGTAAGGGAAGCTTATAAGTTTAATTCATGTGTAGTGTTGTGCTTTGTAGGAAGTATGCGGAAATTATGCAAGTATGAAATCTGTCTGAAATCTTGATGTATGATCTGGATGATGAGATGATATGTGAAATTATGAAATTGTGCTAGATATGAGTAATTAAATGAATGAAGTTTATACTAAAAAATGCGTTTACTGTAAGGAAATTTGAAAATATGAAATGCTATGAAAATGAACGTCCGTTATTGAACGGTCTGCCGTTAGGTATTTGTGTAACTTCCTTGAAAACAGGATTCTTTTATTTGGGAAAAATACTGAGTTAGGCGAAAGCTCCTTATATTAGTCTTACGTTTAGCGTGAGGCCAAACGTTAGGTGCTCTAGTGTTTATGCGAGAAAGTGAGAAGCTTAGAAAAATACAACCTTATATACTTAGGCATCTAAATAAATTCTCTTCACTATGATTACCTTATAAAATTTCCCTTTCTATAAATCCCGCCTCAGCGAGGGTCTCGACCAAAGCGTTGTCATGAGTAGCCGCTCGGTTCTTATACCGAACGCTCGTCCTTACCACTTGACTTACCAAACGTATTGAAAATGCGTTCGTCCAAACAGTAAATAAATATCTATTACGGTTCGGTCATGACTGGCGGTTAACATTTTGATAAAATTCGTAATTCCGTTATTAATATCTAAACGCCTTGCGATGTCTTTATTCATTTGGATTCGATCTAAAGTCCTTGAATTTAAATTCTTCTAAGTATCAGATGAATCGTTCTAGAATCAGTTCATTTAATTGATTCAAGTGGTCATGACGTCCGTCCTTGGAAAGACGTTCGTTTTATTTCTTTCAGAAATGAGTATCTCTCGGTATCATAATAAGTTCGTCCTCATTATGAAGGGGGCTGACGCTAGTCTTTTTATGAAAGTGGAAACTAAGAATGAAAATGTGATTAGAGGAAATGGTATAATGTGCGAACAGTTAAAGAGAGAATCTATGATTAGGAATTTGAACGAGCGTTCCAAGGAGGGAACGTCCTATGTTTGGATATGAGAAGTTGTGAGTATGACCGTGGTAAATCTGCGATGGCAGTTCATCCTGATGTTCCGTGAGTGCTCGTCCTCAAAGTAGAGGGAGTAGGTCTCATGTGTGGAACGGCAGGAAGGCTAGTATAATGAGTATTTGGAACTGATAGGGTAACTCGGGTGGCAGTGTTGAGTTGTTTTCAGTTATCACATCACCCGGGTGCACGGAAACGCCTGTCGGATACAGGATTCATTACAGTCCGAACGGTCGTCTATGGAGTTCGATTTTTTTTGAACTGATTATATGTGTTGTGATAATTTTTATGAATGTTAATATGCTATTTGTATGAATACTGTGAATTAAAATTCAATAAGCTTACCCTGTGTTATTTCCTTGTGTTGTCGTTCGTCGTGTCCGTCCGTATTGTCTATGCAATGATCATCCGTGTGGATGTAGCAGACGGAGAGATGTTGCTTGAAGAAACTCTTGAAGAAAGAAAATGTGGAGGACGCCAATCTGGTCGAAGTAGGAGGTTAAAGCCGAGCCCTAGAGCGGTAGTTTAGTTGTAGACTTTAGTTTTTTTGTTTAGCGTTGGACGTTCGATTAAAGTTGTAAAACCGTCGTCTTTAGAATTTGAAATACTGCTGTTATGGTATTTTATCTTGTTACTTAAGAACGTTTCTTTTGGAATTTTTATTATTAGTGTAATACTGCATGTTTTAACTGTTAATTGTAATTAATTCTAAATTATGGTGATTACTATATTTTGGGATGTTACACATTATAATTACAGTAAAAACATTTTTAACTTTTATTGTTCATTATGGATAATTTTGGGAGATAATAAAAATTAAAAAGTTAGGCAATAAATATAAGAACAGGATGAATTTTTTGCTTTCGATCCCAGCAAATCTATATTACCAACTAAGATTATACAGTTTTTTATTTTCTAAACATTAATGAAATACAACTAGGAATGATGTGAAAATAATATTGTTGAGGTTCATCGAACCTTTGATATAAAGAAATATGTAAAAAAAAACATGACTATACCTAGAATTTCTTATGATTAAATGAACGTCTTACAATTGTAGTAAAGATGATGGAAAAGAATATAAAAATAAAGAATCCCATATAAAAAAAACTCTATTCACCCATTCCACAGAGAAAAACCATTCTCTGCAAATTGAGTACCCAAAAAAACACTAGTCAAAACAATTTTCCCTTCTACACAAAAAGACATTCAATAAGCATAACTACTATCTAAATAAATTTTTCCAACTTCCTTGATATTTTAGCATTAGGTGGCTGGAAAGTTTTCAATTGGAAATTAGAGCTTCCTGAAAGAATCTCATTTAGAAGCACGTCACCCTTTTCATTTTGAATTACCTCCAACGTGCTTCCAAGAACATCACCTGCAAGTCCAATTTCTAAGAGACTACCAGGCTCTTCTCCACCATCATGTATTAATTGTGCAATCTCAGTAAAAGTAGCTACTCTCTCTATTATGACTTTAGCAAAAATTAGGCCAAGAAACTCAGCTGCTCTAGGGGCATCATTAACGACATCCTCCAATGTACAGAGAACAGATTCAAACCTAGCCAACATACAAAGGAATCAATTGATAGTTGCCTTCATAATAAATGGATTTTCCCTACTATGGTTAAATCAATCTTACCCTTTGATGAGTTGGACTTGACTCAAGGTGTGATGTTGAGATTTCACTAGGTTGATAAGTAGTTTGGCAAGAAGATCTCTTTCTGTGTCTTTTCTCTCAAATGAATCTGTGACCCAGAGAGAAACCATAGAAGGATAAAAGCTTGGAGAGTTCAAATCTTTGATACACAAAACAAGTTCTTTCTCATCTCTAGCACTGAAAATTGCATAAGTTTTATTAAGATCATTAAATGACGAGAACAGTGGGAATTAAATTCACAAGTATAAATTCAAAAAATGAAGGAAAAAAATTAACATATGTAATTTGGCCAATGGAATACAATACACATAGCATAAAAATTCGTCATGACAAAGTTGTAACAAAAAACAAAGATTCATGAATTTGATATAGCTGCAAAAAGAAACTTCACATAACCTCCTTTCTAAATCCAACACAAATATAGGACAATATTTCAACACCGCTCCAACTGCTCCTACGATATTGTTCAGGAGTCATTTAATTTAAGTATTAAAAGTTCAATCCTCCAATGAATAGAAAAATAAAATTTTGGTACCATTATGAGATAATGTCTATATGTATGCAAAAAAAATTGTAAGTTGGATACATATAGGGTTGAAAAAGTGGGTTGGGTTGAACCTACTAGGTGAACCTGTAAATGGTGGAGTGGTTTAGATGATTGAACTTACCACCTAGGCAAGTTATACTGCGGTTCAGTTGTCGGGTTTACCCACCTATGAGACCAATACCTATGTCATCCAAACACATTTATATTTTTATACAAATAAGAGATCATGTTTAGATGTAGGTCAACCTGCCATATTTATATTTGAAAAACAAGACACATTAAAAAAAATAAGAAAAAAAAGATTCCCACCAGGAAAAATTGAACATTTCTAATATAAAATGGTTTTACCTAGATCGTATGTGTGCAGTAATTTGTTTGTTTAAGCTTCCCAAAAAGAATATAACTGGCCACATAAGTTGTAACTAGGAGAAAAAACGTGCTGTAGAGAAAAAAGTGAAAAGAAAAAAAAAACCTGTAGTATTCTCTTATGGCTGACAAGGACATGTCTCTCAGTTCTTCTTCTGACACAATCTTATCTGAATAAGAATTCTGAGAGATTATGGATCCTTGCAATTGAGCAGCAGGTGAAACACTCTTCAAGTTTCTGTTACCATGGTTTACATTATGCTCAGGGGCAATTGATTGATCATGAGTAGATGGACCTAAAGACCTGTTAGTACCACGTCTTGACCCAAGATCCTCCATTGAGTTATATTGTGTGCGCTCTGATGAATTACTCTGACCATTAAGACCTGCAGTCATTATATGAGGGTCTCTAGGCACAGGAACCACATCAGATATTGGAAGATTGGAAATTGTGGTTGATCCTCTCATAGACATTCCCCTAGCAAGACCACCTTGAGGTACCAAGGTTATAGAGTCATCTCCTAAAGATCTTTGAGGCAAAGGAACTGACAAAGTCTTAGCTTCATAAGATTGTTGTTCTTCAAATTGAGCATCCTGAGAGCCACCATAGCCACGTGCTTGAGTTGGAAGACCACATAATCCACCCATTTGAGAATTAGAAGACGACACTCTTGGACTAAAATCAATGGGATTCCTTCTACTTGATTGATTGTTACCAGGACCACGATTTGACCTACCAGCATGGGATTGCCTTTCCTGAGCAGCATCCCTATGTACCTCCTCAATCTTTTTGGGACCTTCTACTTTCCTCCTTTGTTGCCATTTATTCTTTCTCAAATCAATGGCATCCTTCAACATGAACCTCACCCTAGAAGATAAATTCATGTTGATTGATAATAACTTCATCCTTTCAAAATATGCATCCATATGTTCCTTGGCTTTTGGATGGTCAATCATCTCCCCAATAGTACTCATTAGCTTGCACAAAGCTTCAATGTTTTCTTCATCTGGATCTTGATATTGACCCAGTAACTTCTTGATACACTCATGCATTATCCTCTCTGTCAACATTTTCTTCTTATATAGTTCTCCAATCAATCTAATGTTTCCCAACATTCGTCTTCTTGCCTTAACTCTTCTTTCTCCCCTTTCCTCAGTAGACTGCTTAACCTCACCCTCATCAGCCTTATTTGCTTCTTCTTCTTCCCTTTCACCCCTCTCAAATTCCTCTTGGCACTTGTTCAATAATAACCTTTTAAAAGTTATTTTTTCATTGTCCTCACTAAAATCAGGCAACTCAGAAGCCAAATGTAAACAAAAGTTGGCATACATTTCACAAAAGGTAGGTTCCATAAGAGCTTTCTCAAATATTTGTGAAATGACACCGATGAGGGTGATTGCATTGTCAATATTAACTTCTTTCACCTTTTCAAAGAGTTTGTCAAAATTTTGTGGTGTTAGTTTGTTTAAGATAGCTTTCAACTGCCTCTGTTTTACCTCTTCCACATCTGTCACTTTACCCACTTCGTACTTATTCTCAGCTTTGTGCATTATTTGTAAAGGAGTTTGGTTTGGAGAAGGAATTAAACCCCTCTGCTGGAAGCTAGCAGATCGCTGCCATCTCTCCCCATTAGGGATATTTCTTCCACCTTGATTTCCCCCAGATTGCATTGGCCCAAAAAGGATCCCTCCACCGTATTGTAGAGGTGTTTGTGCACGAGGATTCCTTAAAACACCAAAGTTGCCTCCATGGCCATATCGAAATCCTGAATTTCCTCCGGTGCCTTCTGGACCACGTCCAGAACGAAAAGAACCAGAAACTCTGTTCCATCTATCGTCCTCCATAATCACATCGCCACGACGATCCATCCGAGACAACCCACCTACAGCTCTTCCAGGATTAGGATGTGAATCACGCTCAAAAATATGAGAGCCGCCAATATTGGCATTCATCAAAGCTCCAATGTCTGCAGTGATTTCAAAACCTTCAGGAAGATCAATGCACTGCTCTACAAATTTCAGAAGGAAATCACGTGAATATTTTTTGGTTGTACTTCCATGTCCTTCACCTACTTTTTGAGATATGTCATGAACCTCCAGTTTAGGGGTAGACATGTCAGCAACATCCTCCCAATCATCAAGCTCAACTTTATTATGATCACATTTCTCACTGGCTTTAATATCAGACTGACCAACATCAAATTGTTTCAAGCTTAGAGGACTAGTAACACTTTCCTTGCTCTCAGAACTTAAGACATCTCTCTTTTCCCCAGGTCCCTTGTATGCATTATAAAGATCAGAAGTTGACCCAGCGGCATCTGCTTTCTGAAGTATCTCTCTTCTCTTCTTCTTTCCTTTAGATTGGTTTTTCACCTTATTTGGTTCTATAATTGGTCTATCCTTGGTACCTGACTCAACATCAACATTCTCTGAATCGTTCTTAAAATGCTTTAGTGTTGTTTTTGGAAGATCAGTAGACTGCAGATCTGATGAGCCAAAGTTTCCTGAATCAAAATAATTTGTAACTAATCTACCATTTCTAATAAAAGAGACATCTCTAGAATAAATAACTCGATGCAGCCAGGGCAGACGTGCCTAAATTATCACTGACTCTATCATATTGTTTATTAAAATTTGCAAATTCATCTTATTGTAATAGAATTCTCAAAATGCTCAAATTTGCAAGATCTTTTATTACTTTAATTTTTGTTCCATTAAATTTAATATTGTTTGTATACTTTAGGAGATGACACATCACTTTTATCATAAGGCTTTAATTTTTTTATTTTTTTTTACCTTCAACTAATTTATATGTCTTATCAGGCATCTGATTGTGAACTTTGTCAATAGTTTGTGCACCACATCCTTCCACTGAAACATAAGCAGAAGCGTCTACAGACCCATTGGTCTCCACTTCAACACCAGTTGAAATTGTATCAGATCCTGGAATATCTTCAATAGTAATTGCTGCAGAATAATTTTTTTTAGTTCCTAAAGCATCGGGTACTCCAATATCAGATATATTTTGATCAACAACTCCAGAACGTATAGAGTCCATTGTGGGAGATAGTACAGAAACCTGTGGCAAAAGACACAGTACACCTTATATTCAAGCACACCAAGATCACATAATACTGAAAAGTACATCCTTTACATTCAAGTGTGCATTTGTGTGCATGAATAATTCTTCACGCATATACCTGATTTTGTGTTATTTGATCTTTCTTCCCTGGTTTTTTATCCTTCAAAGAGTTGGAGATAGCGAGAGATTCCCTTCCACCTTCATTATTAGACACATTTGTGACAAAATCACTAGAAAACTTAGATTGTTGTGGAGAAACTTCTGAACAGGTTTCTGATCCTTTTTGCAGCACAGAGGAGCTAACATCACAAGATATTGTTGAACCAGGGGATTCTCCATTTTGAACATCAGCAATACAGGAATTCGACAAGGAGGAGTCCACTATAGAAGTTGTACCATTAGGCTTAATGGTCATAGATGTAATCCCTGCTGGAGTGCTAGTTTTATTAGTAGGCGAGGAACCATGTGAAGATGAATTCATAAAACTCACACCTTGGGGACCATGGTGCAGAGGAAAATTAAATGTTGTTGGTTGACAATTAGGAGTCATTGGGCTACTTGTTAATGGGAGAGAATTAGGTGGATAATAAGGAGAATTTGTATTATACGAGTTGGATGGAAAATAGTTCATAGGATGAGAAGCCGGAAAAGATTTAACAGGCTGGGATTGAGAAGGTATGTTAGGATGTGGTCTAACACAAGATGACCCACCATTTGAGAATGCATCCATCCTTTTATCAAGTCTTAACTCTTCATGTGTCTCAGGATGAGTTATCTTTACATGGGTAGTTTTCCGAGGACTTGCAAATTTTCCTCCTTTCTGCTGTGGATATTGACAACCTATGCCAATGCCCATGTTGCCTAATTGATTACCCATTTGAGGAGAATAACTAATGTTTTGGCCTTGATGCATGATCCCTTGAGGATGCATTGGATGAGGTTGAAGACCTGGAATAAAAACCGGCTGTTGCACTTGTGTAGCATTACCAATTGGTAAAGGCATCGGTATAGGCATTTGGATGGACGTTGTTGTCATGCCATGAGATTGAATCTGTGGTTTAGCACCTCCAAACTGTAAAGGAGCCTGTGATTGGTGATATGAAGTTGAGACTGAAATCCCAGTTACAGGAGCAACAAAGGGTTTTGACATCTGATTTACTGAGGTTAAAATTGACACCTCAGAATCCTTGTTGTCCTTAATCTCAACGTTAGATTGCTCATTGACACCAGCATCTTTCTCGTGTGATTTCTGCTGCTTTGGAACAGGAGGAATTGGATCCGAAGACACAGATTTGTCAGAGTCATCAAGAGCCTGAAAGTCAAGGAATTATACCTCCAACATTCCTTAGTATGGAAAGACATAGAAAAAGTTCATCTTCAATTATTGAATACTAATATCACTAGTAATGTCAACTTCAATTAGACATACGAAAAGAATAAGGATCTTATTTCATGTATAAAATATAAATCAGATCATCTTTGTAGGATAAAATCTAAAAGAAATGCTCTTCACTTTTGAATGGAGAGGGGATAGTAACTCTTTGAATGATAGTACAAAAATTAAGGAAAGGAAGTGAAAAAAAAATGCATACCTGATCAGGCTTCTGCTTATCAAAACTAGGAGGAGCTGAACTTGTACGAGCAGGAATCTGTACAAAAGAACAGTAACATGATCAATTACTCTACTTATGTCAAAAATCCACAAAATGTGTAATGCACCATATTCTAATCAATTAATGTAGAAGAAACTTACTGCCATCCCATTAATGACGCCAGGAACAATGGATCCAAATTGAAAAGGGAATGCCTTAGACTCATCATCTCCTGGTACAGACATGTGTATTGATATTTCACAAATCTCACACACAACATAACTAACTGCTAATGTACACAACAAAATCTTACAAGACTAACATACCCTTAGCAAGGCTTGTGGGAAGTACTGGATCAGAAATTAAAGGGGGCAATGTAGCAGTTTCAGCCTTTGGAACAATTCCAGTGCTCTTATGCCCAGCTGATGATTCAGATGACTTTGTAATTGGCCCATCTGGTGCACCTATAATGCCACACAAATGCATGAATTACATACAAAAAAAAAAATCAATTTTTATAAAACACTTAATCACCTCAACAACATCGGAAGATTATCCTATTAAAAAAAGAGGGAAGGATGTTTCAAAAATAATTCTTCAGAAAAATTCTACAGAGGAACGTAACCTGACACTAAAAATCAATGAAGACAAGAATTACATTTTTTCCCAGAAATAAATAAATATTACTCCTAAATCTTACCATGTAAGTGGGACTGTCCATGGATACCATTACTAATGTTCCGAGCAGCAGATGCATTATTTGATTCTGTTGAATTTCCCTGGGAAGGATTTAGCCTAGATTGTCCACCTTGTGCATTATTAGACTTCTTGTTAAAACTATAACAATCAACATGCATAATCAATAACCAATAATGAAGAAAAAAAAATACACAAATCATAATGGTGTGGAAAAAATAGTTTAAGTAACGAATCATCAAACCACATGTCACAAAAAAGAGAAAATAGAAGGTTTTCACAACTTTATAATTAATCACATACAATGTACATACATTTAACTTTTCCATTCATTTAACACTACCTATTACACACAAAAACACATCTAAATTCCACAAAAGAATCCTAATCTATACTTTTCAACACTATTGAATAAATGTTATACATACTTCGGTACATATATTATCACAATGTCAGTGTTTAATTCCTTTCACCCGAATAACATTGCACTTTGCGTACTAAAACAGATCCAAATTCCAGAAAAATCTCAATATACACCTTAAAACACTATTCTACTAATAACAATTAATCATAGTCATAATATATAATTTATAACACACACGCACATACATATTAACAATATAAAACTCGAATTTTTTCATCCATTATAATATTACACTTCATAGATTAAAACACAACAAATTCTACAAAGTCAACAAAATAAAATCCTAATTTACATACATTTTGAACTCTAAATCACATTCCAATTTCACAAAAAAAAAGCAAGAAAAGGAAATCTCAATCATAACCATCATAATAGGATTAATTATATACTCTTATCGTAACAATAATATCAATATTTAATTCTTTTCATCCATCATAACAAGACATCTAAAATGCAACCAAATTTCACTAGAAAAAACTAGAGCTAATCTACACCCTCCAACAGTATAAATTAAGCAAACAATGATTAGTTACAGTCTGTTAAATATTTTATCACAATCACAGCATTTAATAGTTTTCATCAATCATAACATCATACCTTGCACTCAAAAAATGTATCTAAATTAAAAAAAAAATCCCAATCTACACCCTTCATCACCCCTCTACAAACATGTTATTAATTTGTTACATAGTATCGCTTAATTCTTTTTATATATTTTAACATTAAATTTTACCCTCTACATCTAAATTCAAAAAAAATAAAAAATCAACCCACACCCTTCAACTATTTTAAAAACAATTACAATTTGTTTCATATTTTATCACAAGCATAATGTCAGAACTTAATTTTTTTCATTCAAATTAACACACTTTAAACTCTAAAACACAACCAAGTTGATGAATAAACATCAATCCAGATCCTTTAATATTATTTCACATACAATAATTGATTATATTTGATCACATATGTTATCTCAATCACAATGTTACAATTTCATTAATTCCTTTTATCAATTAAAACACATTGCTGTTACACTTAATACACTGTAAACCGCATTCAAACAACTCGTGTAAACACATCCATTCCCACCTATGCGTGTCTGTTATGTATTTTATCAAACAATAAAATTATATTCATTCAATAAAGGGTAAATAGTCTTGTTGAATAATGACACCAAAACTGAAAAAAAAATGTTTTATCCCCTTCATATAAAGTATAGATAAAAACAAAATCCAAATCTCCAAAACCAACTTTATTCTACCTACCTTCAAACACTAAAAAAAAAATTCACAAAATCAACAAATTAAGTCTCAATCAACATCTTCAATACTATTTTACAAACAATCAATTACAGTATCATTACAATTTGTTGCATATTATATCTCAATGACAACGTCAACACTAAACTATTCTCAAAAATTACAAAATTACTATTCCCAGTTTAAAACTTATCCAGATTAAAAAGAAAATCCCGAATCTACATCCTTCAAAACTAATCTACAAACAACTAAATATAAATTATGATTCTCACTTTTTTTTTTTATCAAAATCACAATGTCAACACTTATTTATATCATTACACTTCACACTCTATAATGCATCTAAATTCCAAAAATAAAATCTCAATCCACATCCTTCATCATTAATCACAGAAAAACAATTAACTACAGTGTTACACACCATTTTTTTTATTATCAGCAAACAGTGTTACACACCATATTATATATACGTATATATCATATAATTATATAACAATCACAATGTTCATTCTTTTTTATCCATTACAACAGTGCACTTCACACTCTAAAACACATCCACATTGGCGACATTATTACTACAAGATCAATCAAAATTTAACGACGAAAGACAACACATGCAAAATGTGAATGGCAAGCCTAAACTCACCTTCGGGCAGTGGATAATGAATTGTTTGACGGCGCGATTCCACCGCCATCGCCAGCAGCTTTGCCGTAGGAACCTCTTTGCTGGTTAAAGGTGGATGATCGTCCGTTTCTTCTGTAAACGACGTCGTTCTTTTCCACCTTTGATTGATTGAAGGACATATATCCCAACCCCTTCGAACACCTCACAGCAATGCAGTTTCTTCCACAAGGAAAGAGAAAAAACGCAGAGAAAACCGAATCGTCGAAAAACGAATGAGAAAAACAGAGTGAGAAAGAGTGTAGTGTGCGTATGATTTTGTTTCGTTAGAGAAAAAAAATATAAAAAATATAAAAAAAATAAAAATAAAAATAAAAAAAGAAAGAGAAGAGAAAAACCCAAACAAATAGCTTACAGTGTGGAGTGAGGGAAGGGTCAAAAGAAGAAATAGCCTTTTTAGGAGATCATCTCTCACAAATACACACAATTCCAATGAGTTGCGGATTTTTTGACACCTTTTACTCACACTCCCTTATTTTTCTCTCTTTTTCTTTACTTTATTATTAAATCATATTTATTCTTGTTTTTATATAAATGTGGATCTATTTTTTTTTCATAATGAAATTTGTGTAGTTTAGTTTGGTGAGTGTGAGTTTGATAATCTTATATTTATACAAGAGTTTTATACTAGTATAACATTAATGTTTCATCACCTTTACATTAATAAATTTACATTTCTTCAAATGTTTATTAAATATATTACTATGTATTTGGACATAATTATGAAAATGAATCACTAAAATAATAATACAAAAACATTTAAACTGTTTGAAAGTGAGAAACTAATAAAATATTACTCTTATAAGAAATTGAGTGTTTTTCTATTCATTTCTCAAAGATTTTTTGTAACTGTATATAACTTCCTGAAACTTTTTAAATTGAAATTAGTCCCTAAATACTTTATATGCAAATTGGTTCCTACTTAACCTTTTTTATTTGCAATGTAATTCCTGAATATTTTTAATAATTACATTTTAGTCCCTAACTAATTTGTAATATTGCAAAAAGGTCCCTAATTAATTAAATAATTTTGGACCAAAGAATTGAGTGGTGTGACATTTAGCAAATAAAACAAATTGGACTAAGCCCATTTATATCACATTTTCGATGAAGGAAAATAAAAGGAAAACATGACAATTTTACAACTTAAGAAAGAGTGTTTGATATTACATTGTGTTCATTCACTGTGTATTGCCTTGAACTAGACAAAATCAGAATGTTTTCCTTCACTCTGTTGAAATTGTTATCATAACAAAATCGTATACAATATGTTCTTGAAACTGAAAAAGTATAGAATAAATCCTGCTTTAGCATAAATATATGCTGATGCATTCATTATCTCTGTTATACAATCAAGAGATAATAGTCCTATATTGTACTCAATGTTTTGACTTGAACTTCGAGATGAATGGTTAAATAGCGATCTAATAGTGGATGAAACAATAACCAATAAATTTTACTCAGATAGACTCTAAGTCAAGAATCTGATATCATAAAGTGAATTTAAGCTTAACTCTATTTTAAAACCAGTAAAGTTTATATCTATTATATATATAAAGTGATCTTATTAATATGTGCTTCCAAGAAATACAAATATACAATGTTAAAAACAACTCTATGTTACAGACAAGCTTTCTATGTTACAAATCATCATTGTCCATTTTGTTCCTTCATTTTCTTGTGCAACTTTTCATTGTATTCCTAGAGCTTGGATTCTCTTGACCAGAGACAGAGAACAAGCGTTTCTTTCTCTCCAATCTTCCCTGCTCTCCATGTTCTCCCCCATGATTAATTTCTCATTTCCATCAAGGATGCTCACTATCTGTCTTGTGCTTGGTCTTAGTTTTGGGTCAGAACGGGTGCATGCAACTCCTAACCTCACCAATCTCATTAGCTCCTTGTGATTGTATTCTCCATTTAGTCTTGTATCTGCTAGTGCCTCAAGTGATCTTTTTCTCATCTCAAATTCATGAACCTTCTTCACCAAAAGCACCTCAGGTTGCCTAAAATCCACAGCCTTAAGTCCACTCACAATCTCAAGCACCACCACACCAAAACTATAAACATCAGCAGCCACCGTTGCTTCTCCTGATTCCACATATTCTGGTGACATGTAGCCGTAAATCCCACAAACAGACTTGTTCCTGGTGGTGATCACATGATGGCCATGCTCATTCCTTGAAAGAAACTCAGCCAGAGCAAAACTACCTAGTCTTGGGGTCATGTCAGGTTCAAGAGTCACTGCTGAAGAGGTTATGTTCCTGTGAATGACCTGTTCATCCCATTCCTCATGCAGATAGAGAAGTGCAGATGCAAGTGATTTCGCTATGTTATACCTATGATGCCATTTCAGAACAGAATAACCCTTTTTAGTACCATTGATATGATGGTGAAGTTGGTGGCTGAGAAATCTTCTGGCTGAGTAATCATACACCACAAGCATCTCTCCTTGCTCAGTGCACCATCCTCTGAGCTGCACCAAGTTCCTGTGGCGAAGTTTTGCAAGGTTTCTTAGCTCATTGGAAAATCTTTGGCGCAGTGCAGGGCATGTCTTCAAGCCAAGGCGTTTCACCATGACATGGCAGTGGCCATCTAGGATGCCATGGTAAGCAGTTCCAAAGTCTAACTCGGCCACCCTTTTGGACTCTGAGAAGTTCTCTGTGGCTGAAACAATCTCCTTGAATGGTATCTCCCTAGGTGTTTGAACCACAGAAAATGATGTCTGCTTATGCATCGTTCTCTTGCTACTCTTACAAGAGTTAGTTCCACCGTTTCTCTGTTCAGCTTCAGCTGTTACATATATGGTATCTCCTGTGGCAGTGACATATTTTGAAATGGAACTAGAATGATTGCTAGAACTTTCTGTTCCTGTGCCTGAGCCAGTCCCTTTTGAGCTGCTTGGACTAGTCTCAGATGAAGAAGACAAAGAGATGTACATAGGATGGGAGTGAAACGAAGGGAGTGTTGGCAACTTATTTGACATATCAGAAAGTGCTTCTACAATCCACTTCATGCTTGGTCTCAACAAAGGGTCATGGAGTGTGCACAAAAGGCCTATGTGAATCAAATGCTCCATCTCAAAAGCCTTGTAGGAACCGTATATCAGCCTTGTATCCCCAGCATCAACGACTCTCCCTTCATCACTGAGCCTTCTGATCCAATCAACCAAGATGATTTTCTCATCAGGGTATGTGAGATCGATGGCCCTCCTTCCAGACACCACCTCTAACACAACGATTCCAAAGCTGAAAACATCAGATTTTGAGGTTGCAACACTCCTTCTCTGGAAGCTCTCAGGGGGCAAGTACCCAATTGTGCCACCAATCCTTGTGGTCTCACTCAACCTGAAATTCTCAAACTTGCTTGATGTTGATGCTTCTTTCCTAGTCTCATACTCGTACTCAAGCTCATGCTCAAGCCACCTTGCCAAGCCAAAGTCCCCCAACCTAGCATTGTAGTGGGAATCAAGCATCACATTGCTGGTCTTCACATCCCTGTGAATGATCTGAGTCTCCAACTGCTCATGAAGATAGTGCAACGCACATGCCAAACCCTTCACAATTTTGCCACGCCTCACCCACCCAAGTGGCTCCTCCTTCAAGTTCTTCCGAAACAGCACCCGGTCAAGGCTGAGATTAGGCATGTAGTCATACACAAGGTAAAGTTGATCCTCAAAAACACACCAACCCCTCAAGGGAACAAGGTTCTTGTGGCGAAGGTGTGCCACTGCTGCTAGTTCTGCCGCAAAAGTCTTCTCAAACTGGCCACCTTTCCCTGCCAAGCAACACTTCACAGCCACCACTGTTCCATCACTAGGCATAACAGCTTTGTACACTTTGCCAAAACCTCCACTTCCAAGAACCTCCTCCTCAGAAAAACCCCTTGACCCTATGTACAGCTCAGCGTAGCTGAAAATCCTTGGATTGTTGCTGTCCCTTCCAATCTTTGAAGAGAGCTGCACACCCTCAATATCATGAAACACACAAGATGAAGCCTTGATCTGCTTGCTTTCTCTTGCACCATCTTGGCATAGACTCCACCACTTTGACTCACACAACCTCGTTAAGGAACCTTGAAGGGTAGCAACAACATGGCCTCCACATGCCCCTTTGAAGTCCTTTTTGGCCTTAACTTTTTTCTGTGTCCCTTTATGTTTTGGTGGGGTTGCATGAAGTGGCTCTAGTTTATCATAGTCTGAGGGCATGACAAGGCACAGGTGTGTAAGCTGCATAGCTTGTGTTGTGTTTGTTGTGAGAATATGGATGTTGAAAGCATAAGCAATTAGCTAGGACATGGAGATTGCAATGAATGGCATTAGTGCTAATGCTGCGTGGAAAAGGATGTTGAAGTTTGGGTATTTGACGATGATGGCAATGCCATTGTTAATGGATTTATTCAACGCGTTAAGTTTGCACGGTTGAATTGAGTGCAACCATTTGCCAAATTGGAACCTACCACCACCTCTGACATGACGTCTCCAAAATCATTATTCTTTTGTATTATCACTGTCCACTTCATGTGTTATTCATATTAAGTTTTAGTTTCTATAGTTTAAAAGTTAAAATTCAAGTTCTTGAAGAATCATGCAGGGATTAAAGCTTATTTAACAAGTAGATCAAACTGAGTTGAACGGTTTTTGGAACACTTGATTAACGATGAAGCAATGTGATCTGTGACAAAGGTAGAAGGTTTTTAACATGCAAATTCATGTGAAAAGTAAAAGTTGATAAAAAGGAGAAAGAAAACTTCCTATGAAAATGATGAAGCAACAGAAAAAACTAACATAGTTTTGGCTTTATGTCAACGAAAGTCATTGTCAATTCTTCACAAAAAAACAAGTACAGAAGCTTTTTTATTTCCCATATATTAAATAAAAAATACAGCAATAAATAAATAATAAAAAGTTAAAAAGAAATATCGTACTTTGAGTCTTTGTTTCAGTTAAAAACTCGAGGTTGTTGAGATATCTGCTTTCACGTTTAGTTTTTCATTGAAACTGTCGAACTCGTTTGCGTAATTGTTGGAAAAACTAAGCTGTCGTATATATGTGTCTGTTTTAAATTAAGGAAAATAGTTGTTTTTCTGAAGTGTTTTGAGAAAAATATATTTTTAAAGCAAATTAATTTAATTAAGTACTTTTTTTTCCATGTTGTTTTGGTTTACTAAGAAAATCAAAATATGATGCGATCACTTTTACGTGTCGAAAGTAAATAAATGCATAACTTAATGGTTAGCATGGAAAAGATAACTCACTAACTTAATGGTTAATCATCTTTTCTTCAATTTAATCATTAAAAATTATTATTCTAGATGATAACGTGCTCTTCTCTTACCCAAGAAGAAAGATATTCCTTGGTAAAAGTAAAAGTAACTAGAAACCATGAAAATTGAATAATATGAATGAAAATCAACGATGTTGGCTACATGCCAAAGAATGCTTCAATCAAATGAAAAACTATGCTTTTGTCATATATATATATATATATATATATATATATATATATATAAAAGAAAAACTAGGTTCATTATTTTGATATCAAAACAAAAACCCTAAGCATATCAATGTAGTTGGTACATAACTATTTCTTATATGTGATTATGTTTACAATAATTTAATTCTTAAGTGTACATACGAAAGGAAACTTATTGAAAGAGATCAATTTCATGTTGACTTTTTTTTATAATATAGACATGATATAGGACAAAGATGATAGTGTAAAGAATAATTTTTTCTTAAAATAATAATGGTTTAAATACTGTGAGTCTTCATTGTTTTAATATTAAAAGGTTTTAACATAAATAATTTTGTTATTAATTAATTTTATTATTTTAATATATATATATATATATAAATAATTTTTCTAGAGTGTTTTTTTTAATATTTTGTAAGAGTTTTTTCTAGTTTGATTGAAGAACCGGGACTGTAGGATTAATTCTTGCGATGAATTCTTTAATTTGGACCAATTAGTTGAGTTTCAACCATTTTTCTTGATTTTTTAATATTATCTATTGCATGTGAGTCTTCTTCTACTTGCATGTGTTTTTTAGTCATCTATATGAATTTATACTAATTAGTGATCATAAGGTATGTCCTGATCATTCTTGTAAGGTCTTGTGAATTATTCGGTCAGGTAAGCGAAGTTAGTTCATAATTCTTTCGTAGTGTTCTTGCTAATTTGATGAATGCATGTTAGTGATTGATTTCATATTGGAAATGAACTGTAGCTATTTTTGATGAATTGGATTTGTGGTGAGCATGATTGATTTGACTTGTATGGTTTGAATGTTTGATTCATGAATTTCACTAGTTTTGACTTGGTTTTGTGTGATTGAGAGAGTTTATGATATGAGCAAATGGGAAAATTGATACGAGTTTCCATGTTAAAATTATTTCAAACTGATGCACTTAAGAAAGGAGTACCAATTTGAACAATTGAACAAATACAAGTTCCCTAAAAATCACAAAATACAAGTGTTGATATTAATCATAGGAAAACACTAGAAGGAGAGGGGGTTGGGTGGGGGGGGGGGGGGTTCTGGGTGGTATGAATAGTGTTTCTAAAACCTTTTGTAAACTAACGCTTAATAATTATTGTAGGGTTACACTACAATAATTGTTAGACATTAAGAAATTGTTAGGACAACGTTTTAAGCAAGAAACACAATAATACAAATATTTTATATTGGTTCATTCAATTCTGAGCTAGCTCTAGTTTTCTTCAAGAACTCTTAAGAGGTTCCATTAATTTTATCCAAGATTAAAACCAAGTACAAATCACTCTTGATATACACCGAGTATTCTAACCACTCTTGGTCCCCCTAGTCAATCTTGACTAGTCTAAGTTTAACCATTCTTGATATCTAAGTATTCTAACCAATCTTGGTATGAACCCTAGACAACTGTCTAGAACGTTTAACTCTCCTGCGCTACAAGTGTTTTAATTTTCTTTAGAATTTCCAAACACAATCAGTGTTGGTTTACAAGTACAGATTCATATAACTATTAGTGAGAGGATAAATACAATACAAAGACATCTGAGAACTTGTGAAATTCTTTCTTTTGTTCTATGAACAGACTCAAACGAGGTAAGCTTATTGAGAGAATAACAACATAACAATACAATGATAGCAAAATTTCTTGTATTCTCTTATGTGAGCCCTTCTTTTATAGCTTCCTTCGAGATACGACTATTACTCATAGATAGTTGACTTTGTTGAGAGTAAATGGCTTATGTTACAAAGATATGTATTTTTCTACGTCTTAGGAATAACAACATTGCTTTCATAGTTAGACCTTGTACGACTATAGTAGGACATAAGCTTTAGGAAACATTCCAAGAATGTCTTCTTATCTCACAACGTCTTTCTAATACTCGTGCAATGCTTTTGAGTATATCTTGATATTGTTGATATTTGCAAAGATAAAGAGAGAAAAAGTAGAGCAAAAAAGAAGGTATAGTACATACATGCATTTAATGATCTATCCGTTGATAGAGTGTTGAAGCATGTTACGTTTAATAAACTTTTACTGCAAGTCCGAGCTTTTTCAAATAGAGACAATTGATAAGATATATATCATTTATGACTTCTTTCTCTAAATGTGCTTTTGACAAATGTTATTTAATCTTTTATATGTGACATGTCATGGTCTCTCTGGTAAGCGTTTAATAGGAATGTTTTGATGTTCACAAAGTCCAAACGTTATTCTTCTCTAAAGGATATTTCGTTAAGTGTTGTTTGTTAAACTTCAAAACTTTATATATATATATATATATATATATATATATATATATATATATATATTGAGACAATTTGTTTTGTTTTATCTATAGTATAATTCTTATTTTATCAGTCATAAGCTACTAAAATGAGATGCTACATCTAGGTTAGTCATGGTTTAGTTTTAATCATTATTTTTTATTTTATTTGTGTCAAATACTAAAATAAACTATTGTGACAATAATTTAGCTTGAAGTTGAAAATTTTGAAAATATAAGAAACTAAAAAATGTCAGAGTTTGTCGAATTTAGATTATCTAGTGACTGTTTTCAAAATATACTGATGAACACTAATTTTGATGTTTTAAAATATGTTAAATAATGGTTAAATATGTTTTTGGTCCCTTAACTTTAAGTGAAAATTGAAATTAGTTCCTCTTTGAAACTTTGACCCAATTTAGTCCTTTAACTTTAAAAATGTGTGGATTTAGTTCTTTTAACCAAATTTTATTAAATTTATTTAAATTAGTCTAAAATTTCGAAAAGAGACTAATTCTAGTTTTTACTTAAAGTTAAATGACAAAAACATATTTAATCCTAAAAATAATTATATATATTAACATGTGTACTTTTAATGTTCAATAGAAAAAAAAAACTAGTAGAGAATTTCTACTCTTTAAATTATGGTTTAATAGCTTCGGAAGTCCCTATATTTGCGGGTTAGTTTCAATTGGATCCTTCAATTTTGGAAGTGATCAATTGAGTCCCTGTTTTTGTAAAATTGAATCAATAATGTTCTTGCCGTTAATCTTAGTAAACGGTGTTAACTTTCTAGCGAGGTAGCATGCTGAGGTGGCTTTTAATTAGCACGTGGCACGTTGTGTGAAAACCTTCTCCCCTTCCCCTTCCCCTTTCCCGAAACCTTCTCCCCTTCCCCTTTCCCAAAATCTTCTCCCCTTCCCCTTCCCCTTTTCCCGAAACCTTCTCCCCTTCCCTTTCCCCTTCCCTTTCCCCTTCCCGAAACCTTCTCCCCTTCCCCTTCCCCTTCCCCTCCAACTTCACCTTCTCCCATCTTTGGGAAACTTTCTTCTCGCCCTCCCACACCCACGCTATCTCCCTGTCGCCGCCGCGCCCCTCCTCCGCCACCTCTACCTCGGCGACAACTTTTTCTCCGGCCAGATTCCTCCTGAATATGGCACTTGGCAGCACCTCCATATTATTTTTATTTTTCTCAAATCACTGTCAGACATTACAACAAATAACACCAACATTGCATATATTTGATTCCAAGAGAGCAATATCGATGTCATAACACTCTATTCCCAGAAGCTGCAGAACCGAACAAATAAAAAGTGGACAAAAAGAATAACAAGGAAGGAATTAGGGCTAAAAATGAATGGAGTGTGTGACCTTGTCGCGAACCCAGCCACCCGCGACATAGAGCTAAGATCAAAGTGGTGAAGAGTGGCAAGAAGCCTATCAAAGATGCTTCTCTCGGTATCAGATATGTTGATTCTTTCATGAACCTGAACCGTAGACATTTGTGCGCCACCGCAACTCCGAAACGACGGCGGAGGGCGAAGTAGAGGTTGAGGGGGTTGTGGAGGAGTGCGGCAGTAATGAGACGAC